GAAAGCCATGGAGAGTAAAGATCTAGTCTAGGTTCTAAATTCTAGTTCTGCCCTTTCCTAGTTTTGTAACCTTAGGCAAGTCATTTTCCCTTTCTGTGCCCTCAATTTCCTCATGCAAAAATGGGGATAATTCTAGTTCCTACCTCATAATGTTACTGAAAGGATTAAGTAAATTAATACTTGTAAAGTGCTTAGAACTGTCTCAGCAAACAGTACTTGCTAAATAAATGTTAGCTATTATTATTATTAATATTATTTTTTTATTATTATTGTCTATTTTCCTATATTAGAACATAAGTTCCAGGAAATCAGGAACCTTGTCTCTCTTGTTCACTGGTGTATCCTCTGCATATAGAACAGTGCCTGGCACATAATAGGTGCTGAGTAAGTATTTGTTGAATGAATGAATGAATGAATGAATCATGTACTATGAAATAGGGGAATGAAGTAACAATGACAAGATGGTGACACAGTTTTAGAAAATACCCACACTTTTTATATTCTAACTGCCTTTATCAATCCTGAGTGAGTAATCCCAATCCATTTAACTCACCACCTACTACCCATTCTTTTAACTGCTAACTTTAATTTAATAAGCATGCCATGATTTTATTAATACCAATGTACATTATAGTCAGTCCATTCACAAAATTAAAAGATTCTAACTAAAATGGTCTAAAAGTATTAATAAGAAAAATACTAAAAAATTTATACATAAATTATCTGAAAATACTTATCAGAAAATTGAACTATAAAACTTTGACATAAGCAGTTTTGAAAATATTAAGAAAAAGAAACTAAAAGTTGGAAAATTCAGTAAAAGCTTAAAATTTACCCTATCTGCTAAGTTAACCAGAAAAAATCATATAACCTCTCTACAATTCTTAATTTAAACCTGTTATCACAGAAATCTAGTTGGGTCCTTAATTCTGCCTAACAATCTTCCTCTATTTTTCTAATTGTTTATTTTTCTACTCAATAACATTTCCCACATTTCCCTCTTTCTTTATGTTTACGTGCCTCTTCCATTTCCTTTCCTTTCTCATCTTCTTTCTTGAGAGTGGAAGATCTTTTGATTTATCTGGTAAAATAGAAACTCTTAAACAAGGACTCCTTATCTTACCTCTGGGCATATCTATCAAGTTGCCTTTGGCTATGCCCATATCCTCAGCTTTTCATGTGTAACTAGAAAGGAGGTGACCTCAAACCCCCTTGTGCTTTGGATCCTAATCCTCTGGACTTCTTAATGACTGCTTTATTTCTTGTTTCTCATAATCTACAAAGCCATCCTTTTCAAATCATACTTAATAGCTTTTGGACATAGTATGGTATATCTTAACTGTAAAAATTCTCCAGATATGACAGAGGTAGTGTTTTATAGTGTAAAAAGGGTGTTGTATTCAATAATTGTGATTGCAAAACTGGCTATTCTTACGGCAGGAAGTAATGGACGAATTCTAGCTTCAAAGCTAATACAAAAACAATACCCCAAAGGGGAAAAAAGACCATAATAATCTAAAAAGAAAAATTTTAAGAAATTATAGCACCTAGTGCTTGAAAAGACATTTTAATCAAGGTAGACCCTCTAAGAGCTTTAAAATATATGATTTTTAAAAAGTCATGTATATGATAAAAATTAGTTTTATAGCCAATATGCCAAATACAAAGTCAATTGCTAACTACTAGATTAGCAGATAAATTTCATGTCTATAACAGAAAGGGTTGCTACGACTACTGTTAATACTAATATAATATGTACACTAATATACATAATATAAAAATACAAACAACCCAATTAAAATTAACAAAGATATAAACAGGCTATTCAGGAAGAATAATTCCAAATCAACAATAGACAATAAATATGAAAGACACTGAATCTCCCAATGAGAAAAATGAACATAACTAACAA